GGAGGGTTTTGAGGAGCAGAGAGTTCCTCTTCTCCAGTTCTATCCTAGCCTCCCCAATCTGGCTCCTGCCTCTTACACTTACCTGAAACTGCTCTTCCTAAAGTCTTTAATGATCTCTCCGTCCTTAGCCAAATCTTAGAAACGGTACTCCTCACTAGCCTTGACCTGTCAGCTGCCTTTAACACAGGTGCTAGCTTTTCGTGTAATGCTGTCCTTTCTTGGCTTTTGCGATTTTGTCCTCTCCTGATTCTCCTACCTCGCTGATCACTCAGCCTGCTCTTTTGGAGGATCCTCCCAATCTACCCTCCAACTTTCCATAGAGGTTCCGTAGGGCTCTGTCCTTGGTTCCCTTTTTTTTCCACCTCTATCCCTGACCTCTTGAAAATTTCACAGCAAATTTCTATGTGGTTCACTCAGCATCCACAATTTTTTTTCCTATGGGTGCTCCAGCCCTGGAGCATCCATGGAGTTAGCGCCTATGGCACCAGGAATGAGCGCACATATGAACAGCTGGCTAAAAAATTGTCAGCTGCGCAAATTTTTTGGGACAGGCGATCAGTGCAGGGAGTATATTAAGAGATTGAGGAGTGAGTACTGGAAGACCAGGGACAAGACCCCGCACCTCAGGCAGTTTGCCAATAACATGCCCACATGATGATGACTTTGATTGGGCTCTGTAGCTGCATGGAGCCAACAGGTCATCATGATGAGCTGATCAGCTGCAATTCAGCATGGGTACTGATGGGAGACAGCTGTGTGCTCCCAGGAAGGAGCGTCAAGTGACTTTTTAATGAAACCAGTCCCAGAGCAGGCTGTGGCACAGAAGAGCTGTTTGATTCCTGTGTGTGCCCCCCGCCCCAAGAAATAGCCCACTGCCAAGCCCACAGCAATCCTGGTGGAGCCAGAAGCCACCTCAGAGTTTGGTAAGTATGACTCAAATTTACAGTTTATTGTTACACTAATGGGAGGGATTTCTGCTATAAGCAGCAATGCAAATATTTTAAGTCCTGGCTACCAGGTTGTGGGCACTAATGCTGGATTGTATCATAGTGCCTTGGCATCCCTGCCCCTTGTTCAAAATGGTGGGACTTGGAATTTCAAACATTCATAAACAACTGTAAAGTCACAAATGTTTGCTAGGATCATTCAGACTTTCCTTTCACTCACAAGAAATTAGCCACCCTGCAATCACTCCTCCTGGGTCGATGGAGGCACCTGGAAGGAAGGGGGGGGGAGGAGGAGGGAGGATTGGGTTGCAGGGGGTTGGTTTCTATTTCCAAATCTTATCCATTTCAGTTTCATGTAGTTGAGGGTCAGCAACCTCTGGCACGCGGCTCGCCAGGGTAAGCACCCTAGCGGGCCGGGCCAGTTTGTTTATCTGCCGCATCTGCAGGTTCAGCTGATTGCCGGTGGATATCGGGATTTTATTGGGACGTGGTCACCCTAGGTGGGAAGCCGCGGCCAGCACATCCCCTGCCCCATGCTGCTTCCCACAGACCCCGTTGCCCTGGAGTGGTGAACCGTGGCCAGTGGGAGCCACGATCGAACCTGCGGACACGGCAGGTAAATAAACTGGCCCGGCCCACCACAGGGTAGGGCCCACCCTACCTTGGCGAGCCGTGTGCCAGAGGTTGCCGACCCATGATATAGTCCATGCAGTCTGCCCATCACAAAATCATTTCGCCAAAGCATAAGTGGGGTGTCATTTTTTTCCCCAACCGGTGCCGGGAGCTCTGGGCAGCAGCAGAGCTTAACAGAGAACTGTTTGTTACTCCTCTCCATCATGACTGCAAGTATACGATTTCCTGCTGCCTCTCCCACACCACAACATAAACACCTTGCTCTGTACCCTTAGTCCAGCAGTAGCTTGGACACTGTCAGGGCAGCCCATGCACTCAGGACTCATGAGCAGCTGGGGAGGGCAAATAAACCCCAGGATGCCTTCCTTCTTCAACCTCTCTCTGGTGAAAACCTCCACTCCTTTCCCCCACCACCAAGTGAGAGGAAAACATAGAAAGGAGAACATGCACCCAGGGGACATGCAGTGCTAGGGGTATTATGTTGGCTATTGAACATTTCCTTGTGTGTGGTTTTATAATGGCAGCTATGTGAGTGTTGCACTAGTTTTAGACGTTTACAAATAAAGCATGCTCTGTTTTCAAGAAAGTTTATTATCATTGCATCATATCAAACAATTATAATTTGAGATAATAAAGCTAAAAACAGGTTCAGGAGCAATTAAGCGTTAGTAAGCCACCAGTACTCCTGTATTTACTGAGTATAGAAATTCACATCAATAAATTCCATGTGTAAAACCATGCTGTCCCCCTCATCCCACCCCAAATTCATTATTAATCATGTCATTCAGACTTACTTACTGCATGGCAATCAAGCCCATGGCCCCTCAACCACTGCTCCTGCACCTAAAATGAGTTAATTCCCCCCCCCCCCAGGACATTCATACAAGTACTGTTCCCCCTAATCCATTGGGCCATGCAAGACTACAATGTGAGAACACAAAACATCCCTGGCTTCCTCAGTGGTAGCTGCACTTTCTGGCTGAGGGTACCAATCCAGTGGCCCCTTGCTGTCGTAGGTCCAGTCAGGGGGAAATGGCTCACCTCTGGCTTCACAAAGATTGTGAAGGGCACAGCAATCCAAACATTGTGGACAACATTGATGACACTAGCATCCAAACAGGTGTGTAGACAGTTTCAGTGAGCCTTCAATCTGCCTCAAGCACACTCAACCTCCATTCTACACCTGCCCAGAGTGTAATTAAACCATCTTTTGTCACAGCCTCTGAAATCAGGATACAGTTTTACAAGCCCAGGCACTAGGGGTATGTGGGCTCCCCCAGAATAACAGTGCAGACAGTAACACCATTTATGTCAATGGCATTTGGTGGGACTAGTGTCCCAGATTATCCATGAATATAGATTCCTTATTGGCAAAAAACTTGGGCACTGAATTTTTCCTGTGCCGCCCACATTGACATTCCTAAATCTGCCTCTCTGGTCCATGCATAGCAATGAAGTAGTACCCTTTGCAGCGTATGTACTGAGGTGCTCCTTGAGGAGAGCAAATGAGGCCCAATAATAGCCCCAGCACAGTTTATTTATTTATATATATATAGAGAGAGAGAGAGAAAGAGAGAGACCTATTTCATAGAGCTGGAAGGGACCCTGAAAGGTCATCAAGTCCAGCCCCCTGCCTTCACTAGCAGGACCAAATACTGATTTTGCCCCAGATCCCTGAGTGGCCCCCTCAAGGACTGAACTCACAACCCTGGGTTTAGCAGGCCAATGCTCAAACCACTGAGCTATCCCTCTCCCACAATTAAGAAACCCCATTCTCACAAAGCCAGCAGTTACTGCTGGAATACATGCCTGATTGCCTTAGATACCTCTGCCACCACCTCAGTCAACTTTCCAACCTCCCACTGGTTGATAATGGACCTGTATTTAAAAACAAATGTGCATTCAGTTTGGTAGTACATGTTCACCTCAGTGATTATCCCCCTCCGTTAAGACTTTTCTAACCTCTGCTTGAACTTGGGGCTCTGGCAGCCACACTGCAGCGTGCAGACCCGAGTTAAACTAACCAGATCCCAGAGGCACTAGCGCCCCGCCTGATGCGGGGCTGTACATTGCAGTGTGGCTGCCAGAACCCAGGGGTGAAAGTAACATTAAACACTTACCAGTATGGGAGCCCGGCTCTGGGCCCCAGGAAGGGGCGGGGCCTTGGGTGGAAGGGGCAGGGATGGGTGGGGTCAGCCTCCCCCAGCCAGCCCATCTGTGCTGCCTGGCCCATGCCGCCCAGAGCTCTCGCGGTGATTTAAAGGGCCTGGGGCGCTGGCTGCGGTAGCGGCGGCCGGGAGCCCCGCACCCTTTTAAATCGCCGGCACTGGGGCAGCTCTTCTCCCCCCCCCCCCCGCCCGTTGGTGGCCCGGGGTATGTGTGTGTGCAAAAGGGGCAATGACATTAACGCTTTAACGTTAGCTGCGTATGGGCTGGTATCGGTGACCACTTTTTACCGGTATGCTCTACTGGCCCACTTTCACCCCTGCCAGAGTCCCAGGTTCACTCAGCGGTTAGAAAAGTCTTAATGTAGGGATAGCGTACAATATAGATGCTCAAGCTCAGGGATACCGAACACAGGTCAGCTGACTTGAGTTTCACTAACCCTGGGCTTTCCTTACAGTATAGCCATACCCACTGCCTGTGAAATTTGGTACCAACCCTGTCAAAGCAGCTACTGAGTCATCTCTTTCTGAAGGATGAAGTTCAACACTTGAAGTAGCTGTGAGAACTAGTTCAATACAGAACATATGTGGTGCATCATTTTCAAGAGCTGTGCTGTTTGTTGTTCACATTTAATTCAGTGGGAGCTGCGGCATCTCAGCACTTCAGAATATCAAGCCATTTATTACAGCATCTCTCTATGGGCTTAAGAGTCTAACATTAGGTACCCAATATTTAAAAGTCTTGACCTTTTGTCGTGGGACTCCTGGCCTGGCAGACAACCAGATTTGCTGACAAGGTACTGATGTGATTTAGTAGATGTATAATCACTGAGGTGAACATGTTTCAACATATTACCAAACTGAATGCATGTTTGTTTTTAAATACAGGCTAGTCTCTGAGATCCATCCTCTGACACAAGCCTATGGAGTGTGACACTTTACCTGAGTAACACTTGAACAGAAACTACCCCAGTGATTTAGTTTTATATAATCAATAATTTGCTTGAATTTAAAGCCAGTAGAAAAAGAAATTCCAGTTGATTTATTTGGGGCCAAAGCCTGAGTTTGCTGTTGAGGGCCAAATTGCACTGGTGTAACTGAAACAGAATTTGGGCCAGAGATTGTGTTCAGGCCTTAATCAAGAAGACTCCAGGTCTACTGAACAGAGCATTGATAGGGTGACTCAGAAGTGAGAGGAATGTCTGTTTCAAGTAGTCCAGTGTAATTTAGCCAAAGTCATTTAAGTGTTGTTCTCTTTTTTCAGGTTACTAGCTGTTGGACTGCTTCCCTGTTCTTTCCTTGGTTAAAGAATTTCCTGGTGACTGTCACCTTCTTTGTCACACCAGCAAAATGGGAACGTCCCACAGCACGGTTGCAGCCAGGGCTTCCAGACATTGTTGTACCCAGAGAGCTGCTGAGGCACTGGAGTCAGTGTCTGGCGATGCTCCTGAACAGCTCTTTCTATTCTGCTTATTACTATGTCAAACAGGGGCTCAGTGGCAGGAGACACAGGTTTGATCTCAGCAGGGTCGCTGGAGAGATCAAAGAGCAAAGGAGGGTCATGATGGGTTACGTCTTCCCCGAAGCAAGAGCACAATCCACTTCTATAACAGGCTCCAGCACCCTCTGGCTGGAATATTGGAGTTGTATAATGAGCCTTCCACAGTGCAGCACCTGCCAGGAGAGAAACCAATTTAAGTAACAAAGATGGACATGAACTAGACAGAGCTCTCCTAAGGGCAGTATTTTCCCTGCAAAGGCTTTTATTCTGTCCCTGTCATAGGAAACAAGTGGCAAGCCAAGGTGACCATGCAACTATTTATCTACTGGGAACTACCTGAATTCCAAACTAGCCCTTTCCAAAAGCAGCTGAACCGGTTATTTTTGTTCTTCTAAGGCGGTGATCTGTAGAACCATGTTTAAAAGCATTTCTTTTTACAGCAACTGGTACCTTCATTACCCTGCTCGAGATGACTAACTTAGTTCTATGAGGCAAGGACTAGATCTTCCTGTGTGTAGACTGCATATAGTGCATTGCAGCTGCCAGCTACTGCTCTATAAATTGCTATGCAAGACCAATGCTCCTCTATGAGCTGGACTGCATTCCCTCTCTCTGCTTTGCAGACTATCAGCTCAAAAGACTGTCCCTAAGAATTGTCCAGTGGGCCCCAGATAGCCAGAGGGAGAGTGTTATTCCCAATGTAGTCACAAGGGCATTGGGAGTCAGTGAGAGTCTTGTATGGATGGAGCCACCTATTTAAAATGACTACTTGTGTATAGCTTTCAAAGAACATTCTCATCAGCATGGGGGCTCCCAGCTCATGGTAAGGAGGGAGCTGAAGCTGCTCTGGGGCAAGACTGTGATGTGCTCCCTCAGGGACTCAAACGCTTCCCACAGTTTGCAGGCTCACATGTGCTGCACACTTTCTGCTATTCCCCTTTGTAGGGTGTAGCAAAGGATGCTGGAACAATTTTCATAGTGGGGGCGCTGAGAGCCATTGAACCAAACTGTAACCCCTGTATATAATGGAAACCACTTCAAGCCAGGGGGTGCTGCAGTTCCAGCACCTATGGGTATAGCATAATACCTCTTACAGCGATAGCTAGCTCTGGGGGTTGGTGCCTTAGGTGGGGGAGTCCCATCTCTTCCCCCTGCCCCTGTGGAGCTGTGTGCACCCTCAGGGGAGATGGAAGGGTGCAGTGCTTGCAGTCTGAGTGCAGGGACAGGAATTGTACCTGGCCCTTACGTGGTCTGCCCAAGGGAAAAATCTTTATGGTCTCTCTCTGCACTTTGCACTCACGGAAGGACCAGACAGAATCTGGTCCCAACTTATTTCCAGTCTCATCACGTAGCCTAGTCTTGAAAGCAGGGCAGTTTATTGGATCTCAGCTGTAGCCCAATAATAATAATACAACAGAAACAGAAACTTGTTTTCAACGCAGTGTGATGAACACTAGATTGCAGCGCCATGGCAGCATGTTGTACCGAGCTGTTGCACAGAGCAGTGGCTCTCCCGCCACTGATCGATAGTCTGAACAGAACTATATCAAACAAAGAGGAAAGTAGCAGCATGACAGTAGGAGGCTGGCTAATAATGAAAAATGACAAGGTGTTAAGAGTGAAACTGAATGCAGTTCAACAGGAGATTTGCCCCCCCCCCCCGGGTATCCCCTGCTCCGATGGGAGATGATACAATTGATCTGAGCAAAGCTGTTTGAGTGACATTATTAATTGAGACAAGGTGGGTGGGGTAATATCGTTTATTAGATCAACTTCTGTTAGAGAGACAGAGAAGCTTTCAAGCTACACAGAGCTCTTCCTCAGGTCTGGGAAATGTACTCCAAGATTACCTCACCCACCTTGTCTTTCTCTCATATCCTAGCAGTGACATGGCTACAACTACACAGCATACATTATTATTATTATTAATTTATCATTAGTATAATTTTATTTTCTATAAACAATCGGGGCCATGTTTTTTAAAATGGAAGCCCAAGGTCCACATAAAAAACGTTCATGCTCCCACTTGGTAGCAGCCATCGGATGGTAACACATTTAGGCCCTGATCTCCTGTAATTTAAATCATTCTAGAAGGAGGAGGTGATTGTGTCCAGCACAAGAGAGAGATTAGACATGATGCCTAAATGACGGAAGGGTAGGTTCAACACTCTGAGCCATTTCTCTAATGCATGCAGCACAAAAGCCTACATTTGCGTTCTGTATATATGACATTTTCTTTTTGGTTCAGTGGAATCTGCTGAACTCTCCTGCTTTCTGTTGTGCCCTGAGCTGTTCTCCGTGACTGGGAGGCTGCAGCTTTACCCCGCGATCTGAGTGAGTCACATGTTGCTGCAGCCAGGATGTCTTTTGCTAATCAAAAACTATTAGGAGAAAGGTGGTAAAAACAATATTGCATCTAAAAATCTAGCAAATACTCCAGTTGAACACCTTCCATGGGTATTTATCTTAATTTAGTTGTAAATTACAACTATAGCTTTTAGGCTGCATCTCAGAACTTCTTTGGTGTGATCACTTCTGGCTGAATTCCTCTGTAGTTTTGGATTAAAATAATGTATTTGGAAATATGGTAGACACAGATGTTTCCCCTCTCAGACATTAGCAGAAATTATAAAAACAAAAGATGGATTGATAAATAAAGGACACAGCCATTAATTGTAGCTGAAGCTTAAGATTAACAATTTCTCAGTATGTGTTTTTTCTTGGCTACATGTAGATATGTGAATTCATACTGTAGTATATCTAGATACATTTTCAATAGATAGATATGTATCTCTCATTATATATAGTCTATATTATATATAATCTATTTACAGATTATGTCATTGATATGTGTTCAAAAAAATTAACCTGGCTATGCATTTCATTAAATATTTTGGGCCATATTAGCCCAGTTACCTGGCTATCTATTTAGCTCACTTAGACTGGCTACTTATGACTGATTCTCCACTGCTCTGCACCTTGTGTAGTTATTTACATCTGTGCAAAATGGGTAGAAAATGCTAAATAACTACACAAGATGCAGGGCAATGCAGAATCTGTCTCCCTGTTAGTTAGTGCTGAAGGGTGCACTGAGAATGTGACAAACAACTGGAGTGTCTAGAAAAGAAAAGGAAAAACCCAGAAAACAATGGGGAAAAACAATATTGAAAGCTGAGTAGAATTCAGCATTGGAGATGCCAGCAGGGGTTCCAACCAGCACAGACAGACAAAGAGGAACACATAATCAGAGTTAAAGCAACCCTGTCTGAACTTGAGGGAAGTGTGTTAATTTTGGAGTACCATGTTAATGTAATATGTCCAAGGAAAAACTCTTTCTTGAATCTAAATAACTCTCAAACCCATCTGGTGATAATCAATTTAACAAGCAGAAAGAAAGTGTCTCTAATAAGCCCTATTGTGTCAAAGATGAAAGGACTCTTTAACATATAGACAAAAGACTCTCTCAGCCTAGATGAAGGGCCTAATTGATGAGTCCTTACTAGAAGACAGAAAGATACAATGGCTTCACATCCAGACAGCCCAATATACATACATGAAAGGACAATAAGTAGAACATGAACGTGATGTATTTTAAAATGAGCAGAACAACACAGAGAAATCAATTGGACTCCAAAGATTTCTGCTGCATTGTCAGAAAGGAATGGATCTGAGCAAGGCACAGATTTTTGTTTCAGATTAAATTACATGGAATATTACAATTTTTGGTTTAACTACGTTTCATTTCACCTGCCTGAATTTCAGACCTACCCACATTTTGAATATATCTGATCTGCATGTCTGTAATGGACATGCACGTATAAGTTATGCAGCCAGATGAGCAAATTACTTTTTCTTTCAAATTTGTGGGGAAAAAGATTGCTTGAGTAGCTATGGGATTCCTCCCAAAAATTTTATCTTGCATTCTCTCTTATGTGACTAAGGTGGGAGCGGATATACATGTGCAGAATGCTTCATTTTTTATAGAACCATCTTGTGTTTCATTGGGATAACTAGGAAGGTACACAACTCTGTATGTAGTTAAGTAAACTGAATATACATAAGGTTATACGGGTAAAAGATGAGAGCAAGAGAGAGAGATTAAGAATCCATTGTTACATTATTGGTACATTATAGGAAGCAAAGTTATTCTGGTGCATTAGATCAATTTGAAACCAAGTAGCAGACAGCAACACAAGTAAGCCAGTCTAAACACAAAGCTTAGTAGGGCATCAATATACATGACTATCATTTTTATATTACTATAGCAGCTATAGGCACAAGTCAAGTCCTGAGATCAATTGTACAAATACATAGCAACAGACAACCCCTATGCTGGAGAGCTTTTAGTCTAGAGATTGACAATACAAAGGATGAGATGGGGAAAACTGAGGTAAGTGAGATAAGGGAAGTAACTTACTCAGGGTCACAGAAGGTTAGTGGCAGAGTTGGCAATAGAAACACAGGTCTCCTGATTTCCAGTTTAGTGCCCTATCCATTGCTAGACCACTCTGCCTCTCAATAGGGTTAGATGATTAAAAGCTTGGTGTGCTCACATATTTTCCTACAAAGGCAGATTCATTTTATGTTTGCACTTCAGCATTTTGGTTTGGGCCAAAGGCCCCATTGGTTTCTATACGGACTTCTCCCTTAAGGCCCATCCTTTCTTGAACCTGGCCCAGAATGGTCAGATTTGGGCCGTGATTTGTCCTATTTCTTATACTTTGTGTAGGATTACACCTTAAGTGTAGGATTCTCTTTTGTGAGCCACACTACACTGACTCATTTCCTAATCACCACTCTCAAACTTGTGACATTTTGTATTGTTTCGCAGGTGCTGCATGGGGATATTAGCCAGAATATAATTAGTTGCATTTTTATCTGTCTGGGTCTTGGAAACAGTTTCAGGCCATTGTGTGTGCAAGACCAGAAATTTCTAATCTGTGGGGAGTCCCAGAAAATGTGTGTGCAGGGACCTATTTGACTACATCATCTCTCAGAGATTGCATGGATGGGAAGAGCGTTGGATTCACGTTGTTAGAAAAACTGGTGTGTAGAAGAAATGTCCATTGCTTTTATCCCATTGAATGTCTCTCCCAGGAGATGAAGAGGTGGGGCCCCCAGTTGTCAGGATATCTGCCCAAGTGTCCTCATCTAAGGGACTTAGGAATTCAAATACCTATTTTCTTTTTATATGTAGCCACTTGTCTGTTTCTGTATCTCATTCAGGGCTGTGGTGGGTCTGCTCACTAGTCCTTTAGTACTTATTGTTAAAAGCTTTATCTGTTAAATTTCAAATCTGGAAAACAGTTAAAGGATGGCCAGTCAGAACCCGTCTGAAAATGAAACATAGGGATTTAAATGGAGTACAAGTTGGAGATTGATGAAACACTCATTGGGAGGGGGTCCGAGGGAGGGGGAAATACTTCTTTTGAAGCACTTTGAGGCTTGGAACATCTCTATGCATTATAACACAATTCAAAGCAAAGCAATATTGATGGACACGCCGCTCCCTCCTCCCGCCTTCCCACCCCGCTTGGCATGTATTAGAATTTATCAGTGTACCACTGCCCTCTAGTGGAACGTTTCATAACATACCTGCTTGACTATCAATTTTCTTGGAAGCTCATTTAAGTCACCAGGCAGCTAAGATACAGAGCCAGGCTTCAACTCCAGCTGATGTTGTATGTTTGGAGAATGATTCATTCTGAAATCTAAACCAATCCAGCCTCCCTCTCTTTAAAACACACTCTCCTATTCAGATAAACTTTCAAACTTTAGCCAATAAGCTTCCTTGCCACATTTGTTAATAGAAGATAACTGATCGTTTAAACTTGGGGTGGCTACATTCCAGACTATCTTTGTCTCCCCTCATCCCCATTTAATCCTACAGTGATTCATTAATCAGTCATTTTCTTTAGCAATGTGTATTCATCTGAGAGATGGGAGACTGGGGTTCAAGGCCCTGTTCTAAACCAGGCAGAGTGGGGATTTGAACCTGGTTCTCCTACAGTTTGAGGGAGTGCTCTTACTGCCAGGAGAGATAAGAGCCTCCCTCCAGCCCATCAATTAGGCACCTAAAGGCCCAGATCAATGGGAGATTTGTGCCTAAGTTCCTTTGTTAACCTAGGCCTTAAGTTCTGCCCCATTTCACTCCTGGATAGCTTAGGCAGCTCCCCTCTCAGTTGACAGGTTCTACAAATTCCTTTTTTAAGCACCTAACTCTTCCCCATGCATTGTACAGGAAGCCTGGGAGCATAACTCAGGGCTTAGGGCCTAGATTCAGAAAGGTCCTTAGGCACCGAACTCAGTTGATCTGAGCCTGTATGCACCTGACTGATGGGCTGGAGGGAGACACCCATCTCTGCTTGAGATTCTCAGCTGTGACTCCCCTCCTGCAGTTCTGTGTCTAGGCCCAGTCAGCCCTTTCTCACGAGAAAAGAGAGACAGAGAAGTGAACCTATCTCATCGTAGCCAATAGCTCAGTGGTTAGGGCAGTCACTTGCGATGTGGGAAACCTACATTCAAATCCCTTCTCTGTCTGGTTCAGAACAGGGACTTGAAGCCAGATCTCCCACCTCTCAGATGAGTATCCGAGCCCCTGGGCTGTGGAGTATTCCAGGGGATGCATGCACACCTACCCCAGCATCAAAAATTCCTGACCTGCTCACCCATGACTGTCATTTGTGTGAAACCCAATCTGGTAAGGGTGCCCTGAGAAAGGCCTGATCTGGAAGGTTCACTGGGGTGAGAGGCAGGGAAACTCCTAGTCTGAGAATTCCTTTGGGCTACGGAGTGAGCAAGGGTTCAGAGCAGCTCGTAGGGTAGCATCAGGACTTAAACAGGATCAAAATGCAGAGAAGGGCATAGACACTTAAGCAGCTGACCTAGTGCACCAGGCTAACAGGTGCCTCCCTACACTCAGGATATATTGGCATGGACCCTCTCACGCAGTTAGGTACCAAGACCAGCATAGCCACTGTAGCTAGCCCACACCCTAGCAATCAAACTGTCCCTCTTTCTTGCACACTCAATGCCTCTCTCGTGCTTTGCCCTATTTTCTCGTTGTCCATGGCTGTCTGTTGTGTGGGTGCTGTGCTGCCCCACTCCACCAGTGGCCTGCATCTAGTCCTCCTGCAGCAGGGCCTGACAGGCATCAAGATTTCAGCGTGCTCAGAGCACAACTACAGGGATTGGACCTCACTGATGATATAGACAATTCTCCTTACCTTTGTGGCCTTCAGGGCTTTGGCTTGAGAGAAGGATCTGAGCAGCTTATTAGCTGTGACATGGTGTCAGGCCTTAGGGGGCTTTTGCAAATGCTGACTAGTGGAAATTTTAGGAGCCTGGGGGATTTAGATACCTCTGGGGTTAGGTGGCAGCTAAGCAGCAGCTTTGAAAATGTCAGTGGCATCTAAGTGGTGGGCTTGGGCACCTAAAGAGGCAGATAGGCACCTAAATACCTTTCTGGATCTGGGCCATAGGCTTCACAACAACGAACAACAACATCTTAATACCTTTAAAAAAATTGTCCCTAGTCACCCTCTGTGACTCAGTTTTCTATCTGTGCAATGGGAATAATAGCACTTCCTTACCTCACAAAAGTATAGTGAGGATAAATACCTTAAAGACTGTGAGGTGCTCAGATACTACAATGATGGGGCTATACATGTACATAATATGATAGATACAATAGCTGATATATTCCGCTCAAAATGTATTTAAGATTTATGAGAAATGTTTAGAGGCATAGATCAACTTTTTGGCTTTACGAACAGTAACTAATTAAGCCTCACAACACCCCTGTGAAGAACTTAAAAATTATTACCTCCATTTCAGAGATGGGGAAACAAAGGTAGAAATGTTAAGTGACTTGCTCAAGGTCTTAGAGATAGTGCTTAAATGAGGAGAAAGGGACGGTCTCCTCCATCACCTTCCACCTTTAACTCAGACATCAGGAATGAGAAACATGGATTTCCTATAACCACTCATTCATGGATTCTGACACTATACTGTATGCAGGTAGGGGAATCTGTGTCAGTGCAGGAATTAGAACTCAGGAATTCCTAGCTCCCAGATCTCCTTTTCTTAGGGGAACTTGACATCTTTAAGAATATATCAGCAAGGAAGTTTGTTTGTTTGTCTGAGGGTTTTGGAGTTGTCATAATTAAGAAATGCATTACAGCTGCTGTCAATTAGCCTAATTGAAGAAAGATGTTTCACAGCTGAGCCTTATAAAGGGAAAACCCAGTTAAACAGAGAAAACGGAACTCTTGAAAATAAGCAAACAACTTCTGAAGCTTAAAAAAATAAGCCGTATCCATGATCACTTGGTTGGTAGCTCTCCTGATGCTTTTGCAGCTGGAGCAATAAAAGCACTGGCTGTAGGCCAAGGGCCAGATTTTTAAAGGTATTTAGGCATCTAAAGATGCAGATAGACACCTAGTGGATTTTCAAAATCTCACGTAAGGTCCTATTTGAGTCTTTACGTGCCTACATTTACCTTTAAAAATCCAACCCTTAGTAATAGCCATGAATCACACTCCTTTGTATCAGGAGAAAGTGTGAGAGCTACCAACTCAGCCATACTGAAACTTTCAGAGGTGCGGTATCAAGGTAACAGGTCACCCCAAATATTTTTACCTATTCTCTTCTATATAGGTTTTTGTACTGCGTTCATCACTGAGCACCTTCTAGTAGTGCAATAAGCGGTGTGAATAAGATCTATCTTCATGGGCGGCGTGTGACCTGCAGAATAGGGGAGGCTAGCCCCCAGCCCTGCCCCTTCTGCCCGAGGCTCCGCCTCTTCCAAGAGCACCCCCTGCTGGAGTCCAGAGCGCTCCCCACCACAGCTGCTAGCCCCCCTAGCTCCGGAGCGCCAGGAGGGTGGGCGGCCTTGGCTGCAGTCCCCCCAGCCCTGGAAGGATGGGCGGCGCGCGGCCCCACCCCTGGAGCACCAGGAGGGCCAGCAGCCACAGCCCCCCAACCCCGGAGCGCCGGGAGGGCGAGTGGCGCAGCCCCAATCCGAGCCAGGGCCATGCACAGGGGGACTGGAGGAGCCGCACTTCTGCATTTCGAGCAGGCGGGAAGCAGGAGAGGTGCGTGGGGGCAGAATGTGGGTGGGGCCACACATGTCTTTTTGGGGAGGCACAGCCTCCCTCAGCCTATGGTACCTGCCGCCCATATCTGTCATGTGTTTATGCTCTTGTCCTCTCCCCAGGGACCCAAGCATGTGCAGTAGGGCATATTGTTTTGGATTTTTTTTTTTGTATAAATGTACACACACACTGCTATAGGTTCTGCTGCAGTCTTCACTGTGAGCTGCTCACCACCCCGCCAGCCGTCCTGCTAGCCGCTCACCACCCCACTAGCTGCTCCTCCCCACCAGCCATCCTGCTAGCTGCTCACCAACATGTCTTCAGCCCCCGCCCCCACTTAACACAGCTCTCAGTGATTTTAGCTCTTAGTAACTTCAGCTCTTTAGTGATTTCACTGGTAGTAGGGGAGCCTCAGTGCTGGTGCACCACTAGCCCAAACTAGGTCTAATGCTTAGACCTAGGTATCAGTGATTTCAGCTCTGCAGCGTGTAACAAGACTCCTAATGGAGTCAAAATTATCCCTGTTATTACACAGTGGAGAGAGGAGGCATCAAATTGGTGTTTGTGGCCCACACTACCAGGTACAAATACCTGTCCCCAACCTCTCTCAATTCACTAGGTTTTGGAACCCATGTCCCTTGCCTAGCGAGTGCTACTTAATTGAGGGCGAGTCCCTCCGTCATAAAATGCCGAGTACAGTTCTACTGTCCTTGATTCACATAACCAGGACAACAACAGCTTATTACTCCTGCCCCAATAACAAAGAGACTGGGGATCCCACAGCAGCCAAAGTGATCATTTGAGCAAGCACTCCCATCATGCTAGGTAGGGTGGGTGTGCCCATACAAATGAGATCAGTCTCTGAAGTCCTTTTCCACAACTCACTACCAGATGTCATGGTAGAGCCCGTTCTGACTTTGCTTATATATTAATAATCGAATCTGACCTGTTGTGGGGAAAATATTTATACTCACTGTCTTTTTGGTGCCACCGTACTGCATGTAAATATAGCCCACAGTAGTGAAACATGAACTCATGCTCCGAATGCTGAACTTTTCCCTGCAGTAAAGGCATCAGGTTTCGGCCATCGATCACTCTAATGTGAGGGAGAGAATGGAAGTCACCAAACTGGGGTGAGTACATTGTGTAGTCAGTACTCTCATTGCAAATGGCAATTCTTAAACAAGCTACCATTTGAATCAAGAAATGCAAAATTTAAAATTATATATGATTCCACAGCTATAGAGACTTGAGCAACTGATTTTTCAGTTCAGTGGCAGTTCTGAAAAACAAATAAACAAACAAACAAAACAACCAATTAGACTTTTCAGGGAATTGAAAAATTCTATTTTTGGTCTGTTCCAGAGCAAAGATTTGAATCTGGGTCTCCTACCTCTTGCGTGAGTACCCTAACCACTGGGGCTAAAAGTGATAAGATGGCAACCAGAGGACAGCATCACCTTCTCCCCTCCTCTGGCCATTTTATTAATGGCTGAAACTATTCATGTCATGTTCACAAATCATTTCAGGTCAATCAAAAGTGCATTTTTCATCAAATACACTATTTGTCTGAAAATTTTCAGCCAGCTCTAATTGGGTCAGTGGAACAAAGACTTAATAGCTCACACCTCCACAGCACCTTTGCTCCAAGGGTCTCACAACACAAGTACATTAAAAAAAATCACCATGGTGATGTATGTTAGCTTGATCATTTGACAAAAGCATAAACTGTAGCCACTGGGAAGACCATTCTTTCAAACTTTGGTGACTAAGGCTGAAGTCAATGGGAACTGCTGGCATTCAGAACTCCTGAAACATCAGGTCACATGTAGATGATTAAATATGAATTTAGGAGCCTAACTAAGTACCAATGTTTTATAATTTTGGTTTAAGTGGCTGGCCCACTGTCAGTCACACATTGAATTAGCGACAAAGCCAGAAATAGGACCCAGGTGTCCAGGCTCCCAGTCCTTCGCTTTATGCTCTAACAAATCATTACTGCCTCCCAAATTCCTATGCACCTCTAATACAAGAGGCTTTTTTTTAAAGAAAACCAGAATCATCCCAGGGAATTACACATATAAATTTGTTTCTATTGTTTGTTTATGAAAGAAAACAGAATTTAACTATAATTAATCCTATTTTTATATTGAGAAGTAAACCAGTCTTCTTTGTGTTTTCCTTAAAATCATACTGAATAGGTACAGCTAAGCAGGAGGAAAGATAAGGACATTTGTTTTTTAAAACTGTATGACTTTTAACCTGACAATGTCCCTTTAAAAACAAACAACTGTATATCAGGATGCGCAATATCAATCTTTTCATTTCAACTGAAATGGAGCAAATATGGTTTATGAAACAGACTCTATACCTGTCCTGAGGCATTATCCCTGCAGCCAGGTGAGCCACTGTGGGGTAAATGTCCATAAGACTTGTAGGTTCATTAATAACTGTATCCGCAGGCAATACTCCCGGCCATCTAAATATCCCTGGCACACGGATCCCTCCTTCCCAGCCTCCCATGCCTTTTCCACCTGTTGTAAGAGAAATGGCACCACAAGTGATGAGTCATTAGGACAGGGACAGGGACTCAAGTTGTTGTGAATTTACAGATTAGAATACAATATTCAAACACTCTTTAAATGAAAATAAAACTCACTAAATCTAGGAGAGCAAGGAAAGCCAAGGTTAAAGGCAGTGCTAACTTCCCAGCTGAATATTACTACCATCTTTATATTAGGACATTTTCTCCTATGGCTTCTAGGGCAATTCATGGTTGTGAGGCATGAGGGACAGTTTTATTCTTAAAACTTCCAAAATAAACAAAATTCAGATCTGCAACATTAATGTGGAATTTTGTGATTTAAATATAAATTAACCGCAGTAGAGGGCTCCTTGATTGCCAAGATCTGACAGAACAAACACAAAGTCAACGGAAGAGAGATTGAAATCCCGTATGACTCTCAGGAAAGCAACCGTGGAATAAAAAGGGCTCATCAGGCAGTTCCAACCAGAAGTAGAGGGAGCATAGCAAAATGGTTCATAGACGCAGAAGGAGACTCTGGGAGATAGTTGACAGTCTTCAAGCACTCCACAAACTAATCTACAACTGCAGGGATGCTCTGAGACAATTCTAGAAGGAAGTGTGCTATGTAGGAATATGAAGTATTGCAGAGCTCCAAAGGGGACTCTATAAATATTCTGCAGCAAAGGAGACTCTGTGACGCTATCTACAGTCCTGTTGCGATGTCCTTGAATGTAGTCTGTATGGCCTCTCTTTGAGCTCTCTGTCTCTTCTTCTAATCATCTCTCAATTCCACCCCGATCCCCAGGCATCACAACGAACTGGCTCTCTTTTAACTCAAAATATTCACTACTTTGAATGGCATTTCAAAGTGAAAACCAAAGAGAATGCTAAATAATTCCCAGAGAGGAAAAAAACACTGTTGAGCTACACAGAAAATTATAAATATGTATTAAATAACTGCAGTGCAGGACCTTAATAAAACAATGTAGTTTAAAACCAAAACCCTGGTACTCAGGAAATTCAAAGTTAAGTTAAAAAAACAAACGTAAAGTATGAAAATATGGAGTTCAGGTACCCAAATAACCTTAGCTCTGCTCTTTTACGCCTGCCACCATGTGGCGAGCCAGACAGACACTTATGAAAAGTATCACAGGAAACAGACATGTGAAACCAAGGTTAACATGCTAGTTTAGCCAGTAAACAAGTGGGCTGAGGACAGTGGCCAGAATTTTATGCTTGACAAGTTGACAGGAAGGTATAAGAACCTTTTAGTGAACAATGATGGAATAACCTGCCCATAGCAGAACTGTCTTTGACTGTGCTCTGAACCATTAGGATTCATATCTGTTCTAATTTTAAAAAAATCCTATCTAATGTAATAGTAGATTTCTCCTTGTACATAAAAGTGTTTAATCCTTTTTTTTTTTAACTATACAAAGCTCTTAGCCATAATGATGACTTATAATGATGACAATGAGTTCCACAGCTTGCTTATGCATTGGGCTAAAAACATTGTCTTTTAATCTGCTTTCAATTTGTTGTCTTTCAGTTTCATTGGATGTTCCATTGTAGTTCTGTTATGAGAGAGTGGTCATCAAGTCCAGCCTCCTGCACTGAGGCAGGACCAAGTAAACCTAGACCATTCTGATGGCAGAGAACTAGAGTTACTCCATTTTGAAAACTTGCTGCCATTTTGTGTTAGGCAAGCACATCACTAAGATATCATCCCACCATTAGCTGACGGTAAAGAAGCAAGAATTGTCGGGAAAAATAACAAATAGTGGTGAGGCTGTTGGTCAGAAGGTTGGGTGCATTAGATACTACGTTGGACACAAATCAGACATCAAGAATTATAACATTCAAAAACCAGTCGAAGAATACTTGTTTTGGATTTTTCCAAACACTTCATCCTCCCTGGTCACTCAATTACAGACCTAAAAGACTCAATTATTCTACAAAAAAACTTCAAAAACAGACTCCAACGAGAAACTGCAGAACTAGTATTAATTTGCAAACTGGACACCATTAAATTAGGCTTGAATAAAGACTGAGAGTGCATGAGTCATTACACAAACTAAAAATGATGTCTCCATGTTTATTTCCCCCCTACTGTTACTCACACCTTCTTATCAACTGTTTGAAATGGGCCACCCTGATTATCACTACAAAAGTTTTCTCTCCTGCTGATAATAGCCCACCTTAATCAATCAGACTCATTAGAGTTGGTATGGCAACACCCATTTTTCATGTTCTCTCTCTATATCTATATATCTTCCTACTGTATTTTCCACTGCATGCATCTGATGAAGTGGGCTTTAGCCCACGAAAGCTTATGCTCAAATAAATTTGTTAGTCCCTAAGGTGCCACAAGTACTCTTCGTTCTTTTTAGAGAGAAAGTAAGTATCAGACAGTGAGGGTCAGTGTATGTGAGGAGAAGGAGCAGGAGAAAAGCAGAAAGGAGAAGTGTAAATGTATGTGTGACAGAGACGGAGAAGAAAGAACAGAGAGCAGATGAGAGCAGAAAGCAGAGGGGGAGAGAGACCCAGAGACCGATGAGAGGCAGAGACCAGAGAGAAAGACCTGAGAGGGAGATTAAACTTGATTCAGAAGATGTCTAGAGATTGTTAGAAAGTTCGCTGTTGACGACCCAGGGAAGACAGTCTATCAGAAGAGGGGTGCTGCCACTTCAGCATCACTTCTAACTGTATGTTACTGCAGTTCAGGGTGCTCTTAGCCCAGGGATAGTCAATTATTTTTTGTAAAGGTCCACATTTCTTGATCAAGGTATAGTCAAGGTCACACCACAAGTGCCCCTGTTCAACAAACACATACAATGCTGTGTAATGTACCCAGGGCCTATTGCTTATATTTGTAGTGCATTAAATGAAAAATAAAATCAAACCACTGTATAACCTAAAAATAACCTCCAAGAACGATGCAATAAATACACCTGAGACTTTGAGAAAGTACATAAATAAAATCAAATAGATGCACATATTAGCATTAAAACACTTTTAGACAACTGTTTAAGTTTTGAATGTGTTTTGTCGGCATATATGTTTATGGATAAACATATTTGAAACTTTCAAGCCTTTTGTGGTTCATTTATTTTAAGTATCAAAGTTTGAAAGAAACTAACACTTAGTACATATGAACTCTAGCTTTTATGATTCAAGTCTTTCCAATAATAAATACACCCACCTATACCTGCATTAAGCAAAAGAATCATGAGTAATTACTGTGAAGTACCTGTTAAAACTGTAGTATCACTACTGAAAATGTAATTTTCCACGGCACTACAAAGTACTACTCACCATCAGTGGGAAAAGTGACAGGTCCTCTGATGCACAAGGGCCTTGAAGTTTGTAGTGAGTTCAGTCAAGACAAGACAGAGGCAATTGCACAGATGATTATTAGTCAGAAAGGAGTGATTACATGATTTAAAGTCGTTCATTGTTGAGAATGATGACTCACACATGTATGTTGAGCCAGCATTCTCAAAATGCATCATATAGTCAAAATGCGAAATGCCACCTTCCTCAAGTGTGGATACGTGAACTCCAGTGCAAGGATTGTTCAGAAAGTTTCAGATATAGGTGTGCTGCACCTTAAGCACTTCCTCTGCTTGTAAATCAGAAAGCTCCACTTGTAGTTCTGCTTTTTCCAACATCTGGAAAGGATGTTTTGGCTTGATCCAACCAAGTGCCATTTCCTTGTACCACAAATGGGTTCTTTACAAACAGGAAGATGCCTTTAACATTTTCATAATTCTTGGAACCTCTTCTGGCTGGTTTGAAGAAGCCTGTCTAGAGATGATGCCATCTCATTCACGTCTGCAGTGTTCCGGCAGCTTAGCAGCCTCAGGAAATACATCATCTTTCCAGTTTCCAAATAACTTTTGAAAAGACTCAATTTGTTTTGAAATGACGTGACACAACTGTGGAGATCCACTACATTGCAGTTTTGCCCCATAGCTTTAAGTTGAAATGTGTCCTGTCAAATAAACAAGGAAGGACAGGAAGCTCATGCTTGTGCCATCCCTCAAAAATGCATGTTGCTCTTCTGCCTCTTTCCCTGGAATGTTAGGTAGATATTCTTCCACATGAACTCAAATTTCCCACAGCCTTCTTAGTATTTCCCCTCTGCTCAGCCAGAGGATGTCATTATGAACAGGTCATCGCAATCAGCAGATACTTCTGAAAGAAAGCTTTTGAACAGTATGTGTGGCAGTGATGACTTGGACTGAAGGAAGTTGAAAAATTTAATCACCATTGACTTAGACATATTTGTTGCTAAGCTTTGCACAAAGTGTGTATAGGTGAATATACAGTGATAGGAAATCAAATTGGGGTTCAGATCTTGCAGACGTTTCACAAGCATTCAGTGAGTACTGATCATGGCAGGAGAGCCATCTGTTGTAATGGACATAATCTACGTCACATCAAAATCTTCATTAGACAAAACAATTTGAACAAATCCTCACTTGTTGTGTGATTGTTATGTGGTATAAAGGACAGCAAATCCGCCACAAATTTCTCTCCATCAAAAAAACCCAGACATACAGTGCTAGCTGTGCTGTGTGCCTGATATCACAGGATTTGTCCAGTGCCATGGAAAATTTTCCAGTTTTCAGTTTCTCACACAACTGCTTGAAAATGTCTTGTGCCATCATCTCATTGCTTCTAATAGCTGTTGTGTCTGACAGTGGCTGTTCTCCGAGGGCATCAATGTGTTTCTTCCCCTCAAAAAGGGTTTCAGCTGTAGTAACCATACACTGCTTAATAATGTCTGCATCTGTAAAAGCCTTCCTGTGTCTTGCTATTACCCACACACAGCTCAGTGAAGTTTCAGTTGCCTTTTCCTGAGCACTTTGAAATAATATTGGTGCTCTGAAAATATGCATCCTTTAATAAAGTGATCTTGTCCGATCTTAAACGGGAGCCCAGTGCATATTTGTGGTCAAAATCCACACGCTTCATTTGTAGTGCCATTCAATGTTCCCACTT